CCCCTTAGTTCGGCTTCACTCTGCTGAAATCATATCTTACTCCAAACCAGCATTCATTAGTCCATGAAACAGCTCCTTCATTTTTAGGACCTTTTTTAAAGAATGAAAAAAAAAGTGGTCTTTACAGCTTTTTCTGTTTCCTCTGATCACAAAGAGTACAGTAGTGTTCAGTGAGCTTGTATTGTGGACTTCAAAGGACTTTTCTATTTATTCAGAGTTTACAGTTGCCAATTACTGATTCTCAGACTATGCAGGGAGACAGTTGTGTGCCTGCATGGATGCCTTGTCCCCTAAAATAGCCTCCATCCTCTTTTCTAATAATCTGAAAAGTCAACAAAAGGTGAAGGGGACATGAGCTACTGCTGCTCCATTTATTGAACTTCTACTATGATTTTCATTTTGATGGGTGAATTGAAATCTAAAAGTTGAAGTTATTTAAGATAGACTAGTCTACAGTTTTAATTAATCCAAAACATTTGAACATATAGGAGTATCGCAAAGGAACTGTTCCACAGAGACATTGGAATGGTAAGACGCGTTTGACATTTAGAAAAATAATAGTTATTTGTAATTGCTCTATACATTGTATTTTTGTGAATGGAACTTTTATCATTTAATTTGAAGTTGATAAGCTTTACATCAGCGATCGCATGGCAAGTACAATCACAAGTACAAGAGCTACTAAATTGTTTAACACAACACATATTACTGTTCCTTTTTTCACTTAGTTTTCACCATATGACTAAAACACTAAAGCTTTATACGCTATTTCTCTGACCACATGCGTCAAGAACCTCCATCTTCACTCTGACCCATTTCAAGAGTGAGAGCGCTATCTAAGCCTCAGCACTCACAAAAATCCACCCAGAACCTTCTTGTCTGAAGGTTGATCTTTTAAAAAGGAAAAGAAAAACATCCTTCTGTTTATTGAGCAAAGACTGTCCTTGGTCAACCTTTTCAATGGGAGATAAGTGCTAACACAACTGAGGTAAGAGGAGATGTGGAGATTTCTATTGACTGACTGGAATTGGACAGCCTCAAACAAAGTTTTTTCGCGGCAGAGTTTCCGGGCGGTGCAGCGTGGAGTTTCAGCGGTGTCGTGGATAAAGCTTTTTAATGCTATTGACTGTTTTTAGGCTCTCACCAAGATGTTCTGAAATATTTAAATGATCACTGGGAGTTTCTTCCCCGTCCGTGGCCCGGAATAAAAGGATAGAGTGAGAGGAGGGAACTTTTTATGTCAGCCTTTTACAATCCCTGAATTAATAGGCACAAAATAATTAGAGAATTCTGTGCAATAACAGTCCCCGAGCTCTCAAGTCTTGGGTGGCGACAGGCAATGCATGCTGGTGAAAAGTGATTCATGTGTCCAGTAATGCTCAAAAGTGTTAATTCAAGAATTCATTAGTAGTCAGTTTTTTAATACCATCATGATTAGTTTCAAAGGGGAATTTTAAGAGAGTGTTTCCCATGCAGGGCTGTAGCTACCGCTGAGGTCAGAGAGGTCGTAGTCTCTATTGTTTTAGGGAATTTGGTTTTTTTTTATAACCTTAATTCTACATGATAGTAGGACTGAATATTATTATTATATTATTATTATTATTATTATTATTGTGCAAGCAACTTGTGCTTGCACAACAGGTCTCTATCGAGCAGCATTAGGCTGATGAAAAAACATGAAATCACCAAACGGCGAATAGACACAGCAAGCCAGAGTATGTGCTCTATTGGGTAAGACTTTGTGGCATCTGTGGGTGATTGTCGCAAATTACAACCTACTGAAATATATCAAGTGTCCTGAGCATGTAGAGGAACAGTGGTCATCATGACAAATGACTAATGCCCTCTCAGAATTCTTTTTTAATGTCCTTTATGGGCTTCTGTAGAAAGTGCGGAGCGCAAAACAAGAGTAAGTAAAATAACAACAACAAGTAGAATTATTATTTTATTAGTTGTAAATGATGGATTAAAATATGATCTTGAGAATATTAATATTATTAATTGATAAATAAGATATATGTGGTTTCCTAACGGTAAACTTGTTTGGAAACAACAGCAAATGCAAATTTGCAAATCAAATGCAGCCAACGTGGTCAAGGCTAACCTACGCGGTCCAACGTTAAAACAGCTGGTTTCTTCTTTCCCCACCAGTCAGTCTCCAACATTCCCTTGCTGCTTTCTTTCATCTTCTCCACATTCCTCTCTCTCTCTCTCTCTTTCTCTTTTCCTGTCTCTCTCGCTCTCGGTAGGTGTGTGTCCCTTTAGGGTGTCTGCAGCGGTGGAGATAAGAAGCGAGTGTAGGACACAGGGGGATGGTGTTCACAGACGCTAGGTGATCTTATCTACTCTCTCTCCCTCTCTCCCTCCCTCACCGAGCGACCCTCGCTGTTCCGCTCTTCCTCTCTGCTCTTCACCTCCCCCTCTTTCTCTCTGCTCCCTCGCCCTTCTCCCCCCCCATCTCTCGCCTCTCCACTCCCCTCCTCTTGTCTCACACACGCACACATTCTCTCAGATCCCCTCTGCGCTGCTGTTGATTTGAATTTGAAGTGATGGGAAACCAAATTGGCAGCATTGACAGCAGAAACAAACAGCTTATCTCTCTCTCCAGGGCCAATATGGGTCTTAGTCAGATACTATAGCCGCTGCCAGCAGCTGACTTGTGACAATGATGATAAATTGAACTTTTGTTGACTGTCACTTTTCATGTGTGTGTGTGTGTGTGTGTGTGTGTGTGAGAGAGAGAGTTTGTGACTGTATTCGTATTCATGTGTACGTGCAAGCTTCCCCTCTTCATACGTGTGTGTGTGTGTGTGTGTGTGTGTGTGTGTGCGTGTGCACTCGGTGGTGGATAAGTAAATAGACGTACAACACTAAAGCACAATGTTGAGGTAGTTGTACTCTACTTTGTTCTTTTGGTTTCAGTTGTACTCTATAATTCTACATTCCCACATGAGAGAGGAACATATTTGGGTCTTAGTCCACAATATATTTTCTAATTTAGAGATTACACTTTTTTATACATCATATTGAGCATGACAGTTTCTATGGATGAATACAGTGGTTCCAAACCAGGCGGTGTACTTCCCCTCTGGACATTTTTCTTTAAAATAAGTAGAATAATTGATAAGAGGCACAGGAGTGCACAGGACTCGACTTTCAACAATGTTATCAACAGGTACATTTAGTCAATCATTTTCCAACTTTGAAAATATGTCATTAGCAAATTGTAAAAAAAAAATTTTTTATTCCCTAAGCGAGGTCCAAGGACCCCTTTCGAAGAGAGAGCGAGTTTAAGGTGGGGTTATGGTGGATTGGAAATACTGTTTTGCTTGCGGATTATATTGAATGCGGGGGGGGGGGGGGGGGGGCGCGTTCTACAAACATGCAAATGAGTGTCAGGCATGTGAATCATGGGCTCGCTCGCGCTTCCTTCGGGACAGTGCAGGCATGTAGCTTTAACACGAGGATGAGGAGGTAGCGCAGCTGTCAGTGGCCAGCTCCCACTCCGACTAATGAGAGAAAGGCCCGTTAATTAAAAACACAAACAGGCGGAGCTCCCCGGTGTCCCGCCATCAGGACGCCCCGGGGTTAAAGACACGGAGCCAAGGGGATCGAAGGCATGCTGCTTCTACATACAACAGTAAATGGGGCTGCCCTTAACAATAAATAGCCTCCAGTATGCAAGAAGAACAAAGTGAACAGGGAAGAGATATTGGCATTAAACTGCATTAAGGCTGTGTTTTATGAGGGAAGGGCTCTGTGATATATAATAGTGAGACCTTGATGTTCCCAGAACAAACTCTGCTTCATTGTCTCTTTGTACTTGCATGAGATGCTTGGAGCAGTTTGTTAATCTCTGCGAGGCGACTTCTGTGATCCAAAAATAAAAAAATTCTAGCTCATTGTTCACTGGCACCTCCAAATGCTCCAAATGTCTGTTAATATAATCTGCCCAACCCCTTGTGTATCATTTTTTTTCTTTCCCTGAATTGTATTGAATTCAGTTTAAATATTTAATAATAGTTTAAGAAATATTTTCTTCAGAGCCAGAGAAAAATCCAGAGCACCTGCAAAAATGCATAAAATAATTGAATCTGCAGTGACACAATTAAAAAATGTAATTGTGTACTATTTTTACTATTTACTATTTTTTACTATTGTAAAATTATCCATGTGTTTTATTGAACTGTCAAACACATGAATCATTAAGCCTGATCTGCAGATTGACACGTTGTCAGCCCTGTGACAGTGGCGTGCGCCTTGCTGTCAACAGGAGGTGGCGAGGGACGGCTTACAAGTTCCCCACGGCTCCCTCTTCTTCCTCTTCCTTCTTGCCTCCTGCTTCTCCATCTTCCTTCCACCCCCACATGTCAGCCCAGGTGCTAACAAAACATGGGGATTGTGGGTAGTCTCGGAACATATGGAGCAGATAGACGGAGGAATGAAGGGCGGAGGGAGGAGAGGGGAAGGAGGAGGGGGGTGGGGTGGGGGGGGGGCTGTCATGGAAATGTCTATCCCTGTCACAGCAGCTCGAAGAGTGCGATGGACGAATGGATAACCGCTATGTCAGACTGCCAGCGAGGAAGCTCAATCCGATTTGATATGTTTTGCTGAATGACTCTCACGCAATTTTCGGTCTCACTATTACTGTTTTTTTTTTTTTATGGATTGCGTTTGTGTACATAGGAATGTTCCAATTGTTCTGTCGCCGAAATGCTGCTCACTTTGCACAGACGCGCAGGCGCGCACACAAACACAAGCAAATTCCCAGAGCGGCAATGTAGACAGAGTTTCAGAGCTATGGCTGCAGGCACACTGCATGTGTGTGTGTGTGTGTGTGTGTGTGTTGTTTTTGGCTATTCGCTAGTGATTGCTGCAGCCCCCTCTCCCTCTCTCTCCCCCCCCCCCCCCCCCCCCCCCCCCACTCTCTCTCTCTCTCTTTCTCTTCTTCCCTTTTCTCAATACACATAACATAATAATCTCTCTTTTCTTTCTCTCAGGCTGTGCCTTCCTCACCTACTGTGCCAGAGAGTCGGCCCTGAAAGCCCAGAATGCATTGCACGAGCAGAAGACCCTGCCAGGGGTAAGTCGTACACAAGGAACCCCATGTGGACCCATAAGCAGAATCTTTCACAATCATCTCTTGGCTTCACTCCGGTGAACACGTACGAACACAGATGCTTGTCTCTCACATAAAATGCTTCATATTTATTTCAAATCAAAGGGGTCTGACTGTCTTTGGCATGCTTGTCATATTCTGTTCATCACTGGCTGTACACCAGACATGAGCACAGCCTCCCTTTCTCTTAAATATCCATCCTGTTCCTGCCACACAACCCCCCCACCCCCCCCCCCCTTCCCTTCACTGCCTCGCTCTCTTTTCACTTTGACAGTCACACACACGCACAAACCCATAGGGAGGAACCACACACAGCATCGCATTGTAGGCATCCTATTTATAGTCCATCCTCCTGTTTGTGTAAACTAGTGTGCGTGTGTGTCTGTGTGCATGTGCGTGAAATCTGGTGGATTTAGGCTATCTTGTACATTCATGCGGACGCTCTGCAACACGACTGTGCATCATGAATGTACATCACAGCATCAGATGCACGCATGAGACGCATGACGCCACTCAAAGCGGCAGCAACTCGTGTCTCATTTAAGTCCTTGGCACACATGCTAGGATTGGGGACTTTTGACATTGTCGTAAAGAAAAGGTAGATATTCAATTGTTACCATGTGTGTGTTTCTGTGACTGGTTGTCTGTGTGTTGTGAGTGTGTGTGTGTATGTGTGTGTATGAAGACTTATGTGCATTGTGAGCATTTTCATTTGTGGAAACAATTCAATATTTGAGCGGGAACGTGCACATCTGAATGCGCACACATCTGCGCCTACGTGTGTGCCCGTCTGCGCCTGTCTGCGTATGTGCGCGTGAGGAAGTTTTGATGCGTCTCTGTCAGGCCTGGCTCGGTTTGCTCTGTTCGTTTTTAATGACGCCTCCAGGGAAGCTGACAGTCGCCGTGTTGAGCGCGCAGCCTTTGATGTGAGTGATTATGACATCACAGACGTGCAGCCTAGAAGAGCGGAGGAGTGGGGATCGGTGCTCCCGTTTCTTTCTTTTTTTTACACTTCCCAGTGGCATATTATTCAGAAAGAAAAAGAAGAGAAAAGAAGGAAGGGAGAAACAGAAAGAGAGAGAGAGAGATTAAATATTTGGCCAAAACCAGAATGCGATTTTGTCGATTGATGTTTTTGACTTTGTTGCTTTTGTTTGACAAGTATGGCCACAAAAGAAACCCCTTTTTAAAGATTCAGTCTTTACATCTTTAAGGGAAAGACAGTATTCGGTTTGACAAGCTACACAGTAATGCATCAACAACATCTAATCAGTCACTAGCATTCAACATTGCTTGAGAAGGAAATGCTAATTTGCCAGTGGAGGACAGTCTCAGGTTTGCATTTGATCGATGGTGAGCGTTTAGTAAACAAACGTAATGCCATAGGACAGACCTAGATACTCAAACCCTGCAGCAGTGCACGCAGAGGTGCACAGACTCCTTTTACTGGTGGGGGTGAAGTCAGCAAAACAGAATAAATGAGTTCATTAGAAAGAGGGCGAGGACTTGGCCCTGGGAAAACAGTGGGAGGTTTTATGACACACGACTACACCCTCTTTCCTCAGTGTTTCATGCGTTTTTTTTCACCTGCCTTCTTCTCTCCCTGCTTCCATCCTTTATCAATCTCCCACCCACAGTCCAACACAACCAAAACCACCATGAAATCCCTTTTTTCCCTCTTAAAGCCTCTTCTCTCCCTCTCTTTGCATCCTGATGCGCTTTTTATTGTCAAAGTTGGTCCCCATCAAAAAGTTTTCCGCCGTCTTGTTTCTTTTTCTGTCAGGTGAGCCGAGAGAAGAAGGGATTTGGCTTCCTGGAGGAAATGTCCTGCAAGCATGGCTGTAGGCTATTAGCTCAGAGAAAGTAGTAAATGCTGCGTTGTGCGTGTGTGTGTGTGTGTGTGTGTGTGTGTGTGTGTGTGTGTGTGTACAACTGAGCAGGTGCCGTGTTATGGGAGAAATTGGGTAAACAGGCGACAATCCAAAATACTGATATTAAAGTGACACTGATATTGAACAATTGGTGATAGATGACAAATTGTTTTCGTATCCTTCATTCCATTGTAGTGCTCAAACTACACAGATGTATGATTTATGCTGCTCACGTAATTACATCCGCTCTCCAGGCACAGAAACCCTCCCATAGTTGGAGGACGTTCAAAACACTTAAGAGATACGTTTAAATGAAACTCAGTGGCTTTCTTAAAAAAGAATTGTTGGCGTTAAAGGTTTTGGTAAGTTATGAAGTCTGACAGAAAGAGAGGGGGCCATGGCTGCCTTTGTAAACAATAATGTACTCATTATGCTCCACTAATTAGATTTAAAAAAAGATTTAACAATGAAATAATATGGATGTCCAAAATCTGTGTTTGTTCTTTTAGTTCCTGATCCCATTCGTTTTTGAATAGTGAGTGAGCCAATCAGATCGGATAGTTATCTGTGTTATATTCTGCTTTTTAACATAATACACCATAGTGCAAACTTGGTCTACTATTTAGAATAGTAGTTCTTTTAGGTTTTTAGTTTTTTTTAAGTTTTTTGATCAACTGCTTCACTTAAGAGACAAGTCACCAAAAAAACACAAGATTACCACAACTGCCGGGATTTCTGCCTGTTTCATAACCTCCCCATTCCTGGAAATATACAGTCACAGTCAATATTGTGACAGATATCACAAGGGAAAGTGCAGCCAGTGGGCAGATAAATGGCGTTTTTTTGTCTGAGACAGGCCAAAAATGAGGCGCGTCCCAAACACCGGATCCTGGCTCCCATTTATATGTGATCCCGCACTCCAGTTTCAGACTCGTACTACGGCAGGGCATTAAAAAGGCTTTATTGATTCTGGCAAAAGTCCTCAATAGTGGGAGGACGTGTTTCTATGTGTGTGTATGTATGTGTGTGTGTGTGTGTGTGTGTGTGTGTGTGTGTGTGTGTGTGTGTGTGTGTGTGTGTGTGTGTGTGTGTGTGTGTGTGTGTGTGTACAAATCACCCAGCACAGATACTCTCCAGCAAATCCTCTCACACATATAAACACAAACACACACACACACACACACACACATTAACTAAGCTTTACAGTCTGTTGTACTCAATGCCACATGCCCCATATACCATACGCAGTGCACTAAAAGAGCATGTACTCACAAATACTTAGCACAGCCTTCCATGTGAGAATAATGTGCAGGTACAAAGAATACCACAGAGCGGGCACTCACACAACAAATCCGTTTCGGCAATATAAGACTCCTTGTAAACGAGTCCATTCATAAACATGATACTCTCAGAAAGGTGAGGGGGGGCAGGGAGAGAGTAAAAAAGGGAGCACGAGAGAGAGAGAGAGAGATTAATACGGTGTCGATTGAATTGCACTGTAATAGTGAGCCAAATGAGAAAATATAGAACACTGTGAATCCAATGCGTCATTTCAGAGAGCCTTTGACACACACACATATAATGGATAATGGAGCACATATACACAGGTTTTAGCCCACGGCGAACAGAGAAGTCTGAAAAGAAAATGAATAGCAGGAGAAGAAAGAGGAAGGTTTGATAAAGTAAGGTTGGAGAGAGTGGGAGGATGGAGGGAGGTGTAGTCGAGGTGCCACCACACCAACTGATTTGTGACTGTTTCTTTTTTCACCCTTCGCACTTCTCTCAGCTGAGATAATGCCAGGGGAAGAAATCTATGACATTGATTGGCTGCTGCGGCCCAATTTCATGGCAGCTTTTTCTCAATAAGTCGCCCTCATTGGTCAATAACTGCCAGGCTCCACAGGTGAAGCAGGTGAAGGGGTGTTTGGAGGGAGGGGTTGCAGGTGCTCTGTTATGATTTGTTACCCTTAATCATCCACAAATACGGTAGTTCACTCCTTTTCGTAGATTTGGATTAGGAGGAATACCTGGATGCAGGAGGAATAGCTGCACGTCCACATGAATAATGCTGCATGACCTGAGGCTGAACCCCCCCCAACCCCTTCTTCCCAAGCCATCGCCTTATCAACTATCTTAATCACCCTTATCCAAAAGAAAACCTTTTGCCACATAATGTAAGACACGCCAATAAATGGATCCACAGTCACTGAGAGTATTCTGGAGCAATGCACAGCATCAATAGGGAGGCACATATATTGTAAACTTATAAACTTAATTAGAAATTATATTTTGTCTGCCAACAATGCAAAGAAAGAGAAGCAGCCACCGGCAGTTGTCAGTGTGACAAAAGAATCAACCGTATCCAGTGTCCAAACGACAGAAAAGCTTTTAAGTGAGGCAGCATGCAGCCTGAATCTGGCAGTTCTTAAGCCTGCAATTAAAATTAAAATTAGTTTCTCCCTCAGACGGTACAAAGTAGAATGACTTCTTGAAAGTAGGGTTTGTAATATATTCTGAATCAACCACTGTTTGTTGATAAAATCCTCAAACTTATCAGAATGCGTCCTACACATGATCTATAGTTATTGTACTGTGTTTTGTGGTTTGGTCCAGGTACCTTAGCTAAATCTAATGCTACGGGTATTTGAGACAATAATCAAATTCTAACTAGGTAAAATGTTTTCTACATCTTTTAACATAACAGAGTGGAAGGACTTGCAACTAGCATCTGACCTGAACACCTTTGGAATGGAACATTAAATCCGAGCCAGATGTTATCGATAAACATCAGCGGCCAAATCTCCTAATGCTACAGCTGAATGGAAGCCAGCTTCCAAATTCTTGTCCAACGCATAGCGAAAGATTGATGCCCATAGCCATTTGGTTTGATTGATTCATGTATTGATTTCTGCACATGTGGGTTTAAGCAGTCAGTTTAATCCAACCAAAGTGAACCTCTGAACCAGTAGGTCCTTAAATTCAAAAACGCAGCATCTTAGCAGAAATGCTCCAATGAGACGTACAACCATCACATATTGATGCAGCAACGAGGTGTCCACAAACTCTTTGCCACGCAGTGTCGTTTTGGTTAAA